TTTGGGTAGTATAGTCCCTATATAATCCCTATATAGCCAAAAAGGTTAACCTTTAGTTCCCCATGATACCCGACAAGTAGGCCAAAATCCAAGGCCTCGATAAGCCCTGAAGCTCCCAAGCCTGAACCCAGGGCTGCCTCGTAGATGTCAATACGCAGAAGATGCAATATAGGGACCTTAAAAAATACCCATACTATTGTGAGGGGTGGGGGGATCCTTATTAAGATTATAGTATAATATGATCCAAAACCCTATTCTAACTATTAAGGCCCTCATTTTACACAGAAGATGTACGCTTTTTGTATGAACATATGGTTAGTTCTCTAAGTTGAGGAACCGTTTTACGTCGCGAGTATGGTACGGCACCCTCGTACACAGGATCCGAAAAGGGACCTTGATGTAGGCAAATCCCCACAAAGCCATAACCCCTCTATGAGCACACATAGGCTGCTAATTCCCAGCCTTGGCTTTCAGCAGAGATTAAGCATACGTATGATCCCCATCGCACGCGTTTGTTGGGCTTGTGTTTGAGGGCTTCGGGTACAAGGCCTGCAACAACAGAGTGGTTTAGGGTCGTGGGTTTTTGCCGCTTGTGGCTTCAATGATTTAGGTCTCAAGGCCTTTGCAGCTTTCGGCTTTGGGTATAGACGCCCAGATAAGTATGCAGTGCTAGGATGTCATGTGAACTTCTTCTTGTAGTTTGTCCATGTACTGGGGAAGCTGAGGGAGTAAGCAAGTACTGGTACTAAGTGTTTCTTGCCCACGAGTCGCAATGTTTTGAAGTTGGCATGTTCCTTTGCAAATTCAGCCTTTGTCCCCTAAATCCTAAACCCTAAACCTTAAACCCACGCCCGTCAAAGGACGCATGGTACCCATGGCTCACTCCACTTCTGCCCATCATAACCGGGGTAGCACCTTGGGAACAGTGGTGTGTGTTTCTAACGGGTTTTGCCATCGGCAGGCTAATAACAAAAGCCCTACCTCATATAGCCCTTAAGCCTAAACCTATCTACACCTTACAGCCTCAGTCTTTACAGGGTGGGATACCTTCTCAGGGTCCGAATCCTTCAAAGAAATCCTAAACTCTAAATGGCTAAATCCTAAGCCCGGAATTTCTAAACCTTCTGAGGGTCCGAATCCTTCAAAGAAACCCTAAACCCTAAATGGCTAAATCCTAAGCCCGGAATTTCTAAACCTTCTGAGGGTTCGAATCCTTCAAAGAAACCCTAAACCCTAAATGGCCCTAAATCCTAAACCCTGAATTTCTAAACCTTCTCTGAGGGTTCGAATCCTTCAAAGAAACCCTAAACCCTAAATGGCCCTAAATCCTAAACTCTGAATTTCTAAACCTTCTCTGAGGGTTCGAATCCTTCAAAGAAACCCTAAACCCTAAATGGCCCTAAATCCTAAACCCTGAATTTCTAAACCTTCTCTGAGGGTTCGAATCCTTCAAAGAAACCCTAAGCCCTAAATGGCCCTAAATCCTAAACTCTGAATTTCTAAACCTTCTCTGAGGGTTCGAATCCTTCAAAGACAGGTTGGGGGCCGTGTTTCGTGGCGGGTTTGCCTGCTGGCGGCGATGGTCGCGAAGGCTCGGCTCATGGCTCGCTCTTGGGCCAGGGTTTAGGGTTTAGGGTCTAGGGTTTAGGGTTTTAGGGTTTAGGGTTTAGGGGTTTAGGGTTTAGGGGTTTTAGGGTCAGAATCACCCAGACCTTCCAAAATCCCTTAATTAAGGAATAGACCTTAAGTCATATTAAGGATCCTACTATAATTTAAGGTATATTCCTTAATTAAAGGCTTTTGGAAGGTCTGGGTACTTAGGGGTACTTAGAATTTTCTGTTTTTGTGTTATTTTATATAATCCCTAAGAAACAGCTAAAATTATAATTTGTGCTAGGGTTCTAAGTTCAGTATAGGCTAATGTACAAGCCTAAATGATTACCAATATTGTTCCTCGGGTTCCTTGGTATAACTATGCTATAAAGGTACCCCATGACCCTTTTCTAATGAGTAAGGCCCCTACGTTGAGCTCTCGATGCTTGTAATGTGGTTGAGGGGGCTTACGGTTTTGTTTTTTTTAAGCAGTTTAGGGTGTAAAGTTTAAAGTTTTGGAGGTTGGAGCTTAGGCAGTGTAGCGTCTAGAGTTCATGTTCCTTTCGACAACGTCATGATGTAGGGTTTTTGGCTTTTGGTTTCGGGGGAGGCTGTTTGCGGAACATTGAATCTGGAAACCTAGAGCTTAGACTCTCGGCTGCTTCCTTGCTGTGTCCAAGATGCGTAGTAGCAGTGGCGGCAGCAGGAGTGGGACGTAGGAGTAGGAAGAGGAGTAGCAGTAGCAGTAGCAGTAGCAGTAGCAGTAGCAGTAGTAGTAGAGTAAGAGTAGTAGCAGTAGTAGTAGTAGTAGTAGTAGTAGTAGTAGTAGTAGTAGTAGCCGTGGCAGTTATAGATGGTAGTGGTATAGTCGTAGTGGCAGTTCTCGTCTCGTGGTCGTGGTAGTGGTCGTGGTAGTAGGGGTGGCGGTGGTGGTGGTGGTGGTGGTGGTGGTGGTGGTGGTGGTGGTGGTGGTGGTGGTGGTGGTGGTGGTGGTGGGAGGCATTGCGTTTGTCGTCGTTGTGATCCTCAGTATGCAGTAGCTTTTGTAGCAGCAGCAGCAGCAGCAGCGACAGTAGAAGTAGAAACGGTACCATGAGTCGTTGTCGTTACGGTCGTCGTGCTGCGGCCGTTGGCCCTATACGAAGGTCTGTGCTAGGCCAAACGCTGTGGTGCTGCCCGAAACCTCCTCAATGTTCCTGGTGTGTGCTGAAGACTTCCGAGGCTTACGGTGAGGCAGTCCCGGCGTGTGAGAGCAGCGAGCAGTGTTACTTGGCATGTGACTCCACCGGCACCACCTTAAGAGCCGCAACAATCTCTAAACCCCGTAAGCCCTGCTGCACAGACCCCTAAGGTAGGATCTTCTTGGGGAGTGGATTCCGGTTAAGTTGCATCATGGTCTTTCTTTCAGCGCTACGCGGGCACATAGTTACATACGTGCATATTACTTACATTGTGCGTACATGCATGCGTGCCTACATGCATACATGCGTACATTCACGCACACGTGTTCATGCATGCACGCATACATACCATACATCCATACGCGCATACAGGCATACATACATACATACATACATACATACACACATACATCCATACATACATCCATCCATCCCTCCATCCCTCCACACACATACATCCATACATACAGACGAAGTTTCTCTGGGTAAGCCGGTTGAACATTCGATTGCTCAGCCGTTCTCTCGCCAAATTGAAGGATTCAGTGAAGGCGCTCAGTGAGCCGGGGTCCTACTGTAGTAGGTACCCTTAGAGGCGTAGGTGGGAGGGGGGGGTAGGGGGTCTTAATACCTACAAAATAAGGATTTAGCAAGGCCTATTTAAGGAGTATCCTACCCCCTTCCCACTACCCCCTAAGTGTCCCTATGATACTATATAACCAAACAATATAGAACATAATGTTGTATAGCATATGATATCTCATAGATAGTACACAATGAAAAGGACCTAGCATGTAACATATGATGTATAGCAAAAAATTGTATAAAGTATGCAGTACCAATGTGCCTGGATCTTCAGCTTGACCCCACCCACCTAACCTGAAGATTTTGGTGGTTTCTGGGTTTGGGCTTTAGGTGATTTCCGCCAATAGAGGGATGGGAAAAGAGCTCCAAACCTTTAAAATTTCGCCCACCATCCCCACATGTCTTGCGCATGGACCGTTTAGGGTTTAGGGGTTTGGGTTTAGGGTTCAGGGCTACCTGTACGATTCTGCGATTCAATCCGTAGTGTATGGGCGGCCTGCCGTAGATGCTGAGCCTGAGCCGTCAAACAAAAAAGACTCAGCCTAGATTTGGTCGCCGTGGTCTTTCGAAGCTTAGATGCCATCGAACCCTTAAATCCCGACGCCCCAAACCCATCGGTCGCTGAAGCCTTCCTGTAAAGGCCCACCGAAGAAGGCGCGATAAAGCCCTCCCGAAGCGCCGAGGCCAGCGACAGGAGCCTGACAGCTTTACCACTCTTCAGGCCTTCAGGGTTTAGGGTTTAGGGTTTAGGGGTTTAGGGGTTTAGGGTTTAGGGTTTAATTAGGGTTTAGGGTTTCGGGCTATAGTTTGGGGTTTAGGGTTTTGGGTGGTGGTGGCTGTTTAGGGTTCAGGGCTCAGTGTTAGGGTGTAGGGTTGTTGAGGGGTTGTGTGGGGTTCTGTAGGGTTCATGTATCATCGGTTCACCGAGTTTTGCAGGGTCTGGGGGCCGGTAGCAGTTTCTCAAGGGCTGTTGGTTCAAGGGCATTGGAGTTGAGGCTTTAGGAAAACCCCGCGCCCCAAACCCTAAACCGTATAGGTAGGGGTTTAGGGCGTCGGCTTTTGGCTGTGGGGTGCAGGGTTTTGGTTTTGCCATACAGGTAGTTTTCTAAATTAGGCTCCCACTCAAATTCCTTTGTATAAGGGTGACCTACGATGCTGGCGACCTAGAAAGGGCTGGGTACTGTCGGGATCGAGGAAAGGGCCATGGCGAGCAAAGCGGCAAATGCATGAACTCCGGCAGTTTTGCTGTGTTTAGGATGGGCTTAAGGTTTAGGCATTTTGGGCTTTAGTGTTTTGGAGTTTTACAGTTTACATTTAAGGGCTTTAGGTGGTACTAAACCGAACGGACCTCGACTTTCGGGTTTAGGGGCGTAGGGTTGTAGGCTGCCGACTTGGGGCTTTAGAGTTTAATTTGGGCTTTAGGTCGTATACCCGGAGGCCCAAAACCTCCCCTCACATTGAAGCTGTAGCGCGGAAATGAAGCTTCAATATTAGGGAGGGGAAGGTGTAATATTACGGGGAAGGGATTATTTCCACGAGCCCTTTACTAAACCCCAAACTCTAAACTCTGCACCATAAATCTATAACCTGTAACTCGAATCTATTTAGGTTTAGCGTCTTGAGTATTGGCTGCAGTGCTTGCAGATGTCCCAGCAAGACCTGCCCGTGGTGACGCCGCAGCTGGGCCGTTGCTTTAGCATTGGGTAAGCTTCTGGACAGTTTGATTCCACTTAGCATCATGACAGGATCATTCTTCGGGGTTGAAGACAATGACTATTGGATAACATTTTCCTTCACGGTTCGGGAGTACAATAGCATCTGGAGTAATATATCAAAAACATAATCTTCCTAGGCTCGGCTGGCAGTTTGAAGCCTTATTTCTGTCATTCGCAGACTCGACTCCCCAACCCCTAAACCCTAAACCCTAAACCTCATGTGGAAGGAAGGATAAGAAGGAGCTCTTTGAACCATCGGTTTCCTAGGCTCCAGGTAAGCTCCACAGCTCCCACCCCCCCCCCCCCCCAAAACACTAGGATTATGTAGGGTTCATATAAGGAACCCTACTGAACGCCCAAGGTTTCTTAATCAGGTTCCTACATTAGGACTGTTTCATCCTGGCTCAGGGTTTAGCGTCTAGGTTTTAGAGTCTAGGGTTTATGGCTCAGGGTTTAGGGTGTTGTCCGCCTGCAATTGTTCGAGGGGGTCCCGTGCAAGAATCTAGCCTGTTTGTGTTTTTGTTCATTTTGTTTCCGTACTTGCTGTGTGAAGTCCTGCGGTGAGCGATCCTACACGCCCTAAGGCCAAATCTTAAATATGTTGACAAAGCGTAGAGCCGTAAACCCTAAGCTTGTCACCGATCACCCTGAAAGGTAAAACCCTGCTGAGGTCAGGGCTGTAGGGTTGAGGGATTTAGGGTGTCAGAGCTTGAGGGTTTTAGGGTACAGGTAATAGGTTTGTAGTTTTGTCAGGTTTAAAGTACCCATAGGGTCAGGGCTCAGGGCTATGCTGCAATTATGCCATACTATGCCCCAAGATTTAATGTAGCTACAATTGGTGTTCCTTGCTGTAGGGTTCCGAAATATAGCTGTGCTATACTATGCCCCAAAACCATATTCTAACCCGTAAGCCCTTGAAATTACCGCACGGCAGCTTGCCTGAACCCTAAACCCTAATTAAGCCCTAACCCCTAAACCCCTAAACCCTAATTAAACCCTAACCCCCTAAACCCTAAACCCCTAAGCCCTAATTAAACCCTAACCCTTAAACCCTAAACCCCTAAACCCTAATTAAACCCTAACCCCCTAAACCCTAAACCCCTAAGCCCTAATTAAACCCTAACCCTTAAACCCTAAACCCCTAAACCCTAATTAAACCCTAACCCCCTAAACCCTAAACCCCTAAGCCCTAATTAAACCCTAACCCCCTAAACCCTAAACCCCTAAACCCCAATTAAACCCTAACCCTTAAACCTTAAACCCCTAAGCCCTAATTAAACCCTAACCCCCTAAACCCTAAACCCCTAAGCCCTAATTAAACCCTAACCCTTAAACCCTAAACCCCTAAACCCCCAGACCCCGAAGCCATGGTGAGCACAGGAAAGAGGAAGCTGATCAGGCTCTGCCCCAGCGCTCTGCTTCCGAGTCCTCATCTGACTGGTGGCGTCTCGTCCATCTATTACATTATATCATATCAGAGTAATACGTATCATCATATCAGAGTAGTATCATATCAGACAGTATATCATTTATTGAATTCCGAGTTCAGGGCTCACTTCGTTACTTTTTCAGAGTGCTTCGGGCTTGTGTCGTAGGCTCGTAGGGGTGTAGAGGTCTTCTACGAGTTTCTTCTTGGCGGTTTGGGGCTGGATACGGCTGAGGATATGAATCCTGCATTGCCCATAATATGGAATATTTCCCATAGCTTAGGGTCCTTAATTAACGTAATGGAGGGTTTATATCATCAGCAGTAAGGTTGGGTTTGTGTTGCAGGGTCGGGGGTGCACAAGGTCTTCGGTTCAGGGCTCATGGTGTGCCTGCATCGACCAACGTCGTTGACAACAAGGAAATGACTCTAAATGGGTAGGTACGTTACTTTCAGGGTCCATGTGCTCATATTGTACTACATAGATACTTTGGTCCCAAAGTATATATTTACCGCTGGCTCAAAGTAGATGAGGGCAGTTTACAAAGCAGTTTCAGAGCTAAAAGGGTTTTACCCGGGAGGCTGAATGGAACTTGCCCTACCTAGAGCAACCAAGGTACCTGCAACAAGGTAGATGTACCAATTCGTTAAGGTCACATTTTAAGGTCACATCCCTCTAAACATGTACGTTGGCTACCTGAAACCTAAGACTCTCAAGCGTCGATTGGACGGTGTGCTTGAATGTGGCTTGCGAGCTGGACTCCACGACCCACAGACCGGGTCCAAGTCCTGAGAGTGTAATAGAGGGGCTTGAATAGTTACAAATCCTTTTTTGGGGTTCCTTAGTATAATTATGAGTATGCCCCAGAACCCTATTCTAATTATTAAGCCCGCTATATTGCGCTTCTTTTGTGTGTCGTGATTGGTCTGGTTTGTTAGTTTATTTGTTGGTGTGTTCCCCACCTTCAGCCTCACTGATCTTGGTAGAGATTAAAAGGAACCACGAGAACCACGAAGCCCCGCTCTGCCAGGATAGCAGGACGTAAGAATAGGACAGATATGATCAGAGGACAGATCGGCAAGTTTAATTGCCTAGAGAAGCACTTATGGGAAATCCAAGACCTGGACCCTAGACCACAAAATCCTAAACCCGAAACCTTGACGTACATGAACCCCAGATCCGAATTTCTGAGGTGGCACCGTCGTCATTGGGCTTGGGCCCGTCGACACCGCCGCTATTACTCCGGGAAGTATGGGTACTCCTATGGGCATCTCGGTGAAGGTTTGAGAATGTCCAGGGTCTCTCCCTTGCATTCTATACTTGCTGGTATCTTCGAACTCTTATAATTCAATGTAGTAAACCTCTTTTGGTTGAGATTCCTGGGCTGTGGCAGCACGGTTGATCTCTACCACCCCAATCGTAGACCCCTCCCAAATACCCATTGGCTATCGGCCATTGAAGCCCCACATGGTGAGCATGTGGACGCGGTTAAAAGTCTGCCTTATGTGGGCCACGGAACTTAGCAACTAAATTAGGCGAATTTTGGGGCCTTAGTAGTTACCTGTACTATTTTGGGGGTTCCTTATTACACCCAGAGTATAGTGGGCCCCAAAACCCGATTCCAATTATCAAGGCCCCTATATTTTGCAGCCCAGGAAGCCTACGACCACCGAGCCGCCAACGACCACCGAGCCGGATGTCACAACGAGCACCACGACCTCGACGTCGAGTGCCAGCAGAGCCCCGGATGTTGGACCCGACCCTTTTGACAGAATTCCATGTCCAGGACTGGGGCAGGCCTTTTCGGTTTGGGGTTTAGGGTTTAGGGTTTATTAGTAATAGTAACAATAGTAGTGGCAGCAGTAGTAGTAATACTATAATATTCATAATTTCAGTAAATAGCAAGGGTAGTAGTCAGAGACCCAAAGATCGCCCCTGCTTGAAGGAATGACCCTGAATGGTGTTTTAGCCTCAGCTACTTTCTTCGGCTGGCTTTGAGGCTCCATACCCGACCACTGCGGGCCTGGGTGTTTTAAAGTTTTTGAGCTTGAGGCGGCACCCTAATTGTTTAAGTACCGAAGGATTAGGTACTTGGGTATAGGATTGTAGGTAATACGGGGGCCTAAGTAATTGCGAAAGCGATGCTCTCCTTATTACAATTGACAATTGCGGTATAACATGAATAAGGCCCATATATATATATATATATATATATATATATATAGTTGGTATATCGGGAAGTATTTCCTTGTTAGCCACCTGATCCCTTTAGGGAGAGGCGTACCTTCGCCAGGGACTCACGACATCACCTCGAAGTTCGAAGCCTAAAGGCCTTAAGCCGCCTAAAATTCATTAAAGATTAGAATTCACGATTGAATGTTTGGGATTTCGGGTTTTGGGTTTAGCCGCTGAAACTAAAGACTTATAGAGGCCTTGGATATTCCATGTTAATAGAGCACTTGCAGGAACTTTTCACAAGCCCTTCACCCGGTGCCGAGGGCCAAGAACACCCTAATCCACGACTGAACACTTAAACCCCAACGCAACCCGGGTTGGGGGTGGGGGGGGGTTGGGGGTTAGGGCTCAGGGACTCATGTAGAACCCGCACGAGACTGCTTAACGGAATTGCAAAAACCCCGAAGACTAAGTGCAGGAGGCATCAAAGGCCCTGGTGCTCGCTGGCGTGACACTGTCAATTTGAGAGGCCCGATAGATGCCACAAATTAGCCTAAGGCTTTTGGGGTTTAGGGTTCAGGGTTTCTGGCCAAGGCTTTGGGTCGGGGGTTTCGGGCGGTTGCTCGCCACACCTACTTAGGAACAGGATAAATAGGGTGTTGAAGTTGAATGGTATGGTAAAGTATGATATAGCATTGTAGAGTACAGTATAGTATAGTCAAGTACAGAAAGTATAGAAATATATGCCAGGTTGTGGTACGTGTCAGCATAATCTAGTCTAGTCTAGTCTAGCTGCTTTAGTTCAGTGTTGTCTAGTTTTCTGCTTTGGTTAAGGTGTAGCGCAGGGTGGTATGCCATTTTTATGCCCGAAACGGGTTGTATGTTCACAGAGGGTTGAAGTACCCAAAAAGTAAAATCAGGATGTAGTTTAGGGGTTAGGGTTTATAAGGCTTACTGCTGATATATTGCCACTATGGAGCTCGGTCTTGAAAAAGCCGAGCAAGAATGTTCCATGGACCTTCTTGGTATAGATACTTGCCTGGTGGTCCACATTAAGGTCTCTTTTGGGTTCCCAAATTATAGGGGGCCGTCATGAAGGTGCGGGTATCAAATTTGCCAGCAGCTCCGTCATTGCAAAGGTCCACCGAGACCCAAAGACCCATAGAGAGTATCGAATGTAGGCCCCCACATCGCAATACTTGTGTCCTTAGACCTTGGGGTAAAGTTCTGAGAAGACTTGTCGATACCTTGAAGAAGTTCATATGAGTTCGTCCCAGGTTGTACTAGATACTATCTAGGTACTGATGCCTCGAGCATCAAGAAATCGGAAGCCTCCTTCCAATCGGAAACTCTCACCTTCCCTCAGGGTATAGGGGTTTCGGGGGGCGGGGTCTTGGGTTTGGTGGGTTTGGGATTTGAAAGTTCACTTTTCAGCACCTGAACCAGCGGAGTTCTCTCCCCACTGCCACCTTTCACAGTGGCATTGCACGGTGTAGGGTTTAGGGTTCAGGGTAATTACACTCTAAAACCTGAAATCCTAAGTCCCAAACTCCTGCAGCCCCGCTCCTTCAAACCCCTGAGCTTCAAACTCCAAAGCCTAAGCCCTAAGCCCTAAGTGACATCCTTCCCTCGCTGGCCAGTTACCGAGTTCCACTTCTACGCAGGCACGGATAGAACTTGAGCTTCGCGGTTTAGGGTTTGTGGAGCTAGGAATGTACGGTTTAGGGTGTGTCGGGGCTTCAGGGTTTTAGGGCAAGCGTTCAAGATTTTGGCCCGTGAGTTGTCACGGTTGGGTTGCGCAACATTCACTCGCAACATTCGTTGTACCTCAAGTAATGACGCTAGGCCAATGATGGTAATCAGTTGTGGGCACCTACATGCCATGGATTTCGGGCAGTGCAGGGTTTTGCCCAGCCGCAGCAGCGGCAGCAACAAGTCAGGCATACAGTGCTCTTGAGTACTACATCTTTTTCTGTCTTGGATGAGGCGGCCTGACTGAACCTACTAAAGAACAACAACAAGAAGTCGGATACGCATTTTCTGGTTCAAGTTAGGTTCCCGGAAAAAGGGGCCATGATTGTGGGACAATGTTTCATGGTTGGATGATGGTTTAGACAATGCTAGCTATAAGTTTTATAACAGATACTATCAGGAATAGTGTTTCAAGCCGTTCAGACCAGCAGATTGCACCCCAGCCCTAAACCGTTAACCCTTTATGAATCTCTTGTATAATCCTTGAAGGCACACTCTTATATCCCTTCAATGAACAGCCAAACCCAAAAGCCTGCATACGCCCTAAACCTCTCAAACCTTCAAGTCTGCTGACCCTGAACCACCAAAATCTTAAATCCCGAAAGCTCTAAGCCATAAAGGCCCCCTAAAACTTAGGGTTTAAGGTTCTGAATGGGTTCCTTAAAGGGTTGCTTAAGGGTTCGTCAAAGCTCTAGATGTCTTCGATGATTCGATGATGGAGGTTTGCTGTTTAGGCGTTTCAGGGTTTTGGGTTAAGGGATTAGGGTTGCGGGTTAAAGACTTACTTGGGAACTTGTTCGGATTTGGTATCATTTGGTACCCGTAAGCCTACTTTCTACTATAAGCCAAAAGGGCGCCTCAGGATACAAGTACCTAAAGACACCATAACCGATGCTGTGGTAAGTTCTTGTTTCAAACCCTAAATGGGCGCCCTACAGAAAAAGCTTTAGGTTTGGTCATGAGCCCAAATCCATTAACCCCAAACCCTAGACTGGAAACCTCAGGCCGCAAACCCCAAACCCTAAACCCTAAACCGAGTCGACGGGACTTTGCTTCAGCGCTGCGCGTTCTAAGGCCTGGGTAACCTGGGCGTGGGGAACCGGCGGAACGATCTTTGCCAGCCCGGCGGAAGCATGGCTTGATTCAGGTAGGGTGAAGTTTAGGGCTTATGCTCTAGGGTTCGTTTTGATGTTGGAACCTGATTGAGCAAACCCGGTCCTGTAACTCCAAAGTATGCGGTTTCACAGTCGCATAAGGAGCCCTATAAAGACCCAGGGCTTTCTTGTGTTGCAGGATTTCGGGCAAGCACGGCTTGATTCAGGAACAAGTTGTGAAGTTGAGGGTTCAGGGTTTAGGCTTCATCCTAGACCCTCAACCCTTAAGCCTAGGCTGCCTGGGGTTTGTTGGGGTGTAGAACTTAAAAGATACGGTTGCTGCAGGATGGAGGAAGTTGAAGATGGTTTTGGCTAATGCAGGGTCAAAGGTTCAGGATGTAGGGTTTGGGAAGCTCGGGGCAGTTACCAGGATCTAGCCTTGCTGTTTACCTGGGTTTCTGAAAACCAGGCTTCGGAAAGACAAAGATGGCAAACATGCAGCCCCCTGACGAATCGGCCCACATGCTCATATCATATCACAGACTCCTGATTAACTACCCGTTTGACTACTGTAGCAACTAGGCGCGGGTGTCTTGATCCCTATCATACTATCATAGACCCTTTCAAGGTAACTTAGGGGCCTTAAGGATTGAATCTACTATGTTGGGGGTTCCTTCTCTTATTTATAGTTTAATGGACACCCACAAACCTCGTCTAATGACCCCTATGTTAGGTTGCCCGTTAAACGATAATAGGGTCTACATAAGTCGTCTGGCCTGGTTTGTTATCTTGCGGGGCTCCAGGCGGTGGCCCGCCATGCTTTGTTCCAAGTGGGCCTGGCGACACCGGGGAAATGAAGGTCGAGTACCAGGCTACGGTCGCTCAGGGTTTAGGGCTTGGGTTTAGGGTTTAGGGACTTTCTGTTGGTTTTGCGAGTTGGTTGTCTAAGGATTTTACCGGGTCCTTGCAGGGTGTGCATATCCTAGGGTTTCATGAGGGCTTCGATGTCTGCGAGATTTACGGTTTCGCCTCAGTTGCGTTTTTAAGTTCGGATCTGTGTTCGGGTCGATCCTTTAAGGCAAAAGTGGGTTTAGGCTTTAAGAAGTTTAAGATTTAATGGTTTCGGGTGGAGGGCTTTTGGTTTGAGGGCATTTCGGTAATGGCTTGGGGCGTGAGCGTATAGCCCCAGCGTTTACTCCAGCCCCCCAGACTTGCAAGGCGGAGACAATGCCAAGCTTAAATGTTGGGTGAAGGTCTGCTCTTACAGCCCTTAAGCTTAAACAGTATACATGATAATGTACCCGATTCTACCTACTACAGCCCCTCTATATGACTGGTTTTCCATATCTGTTTTTTGTTTTTTGGTTCTTATTTTGTACCCAAAACCCGAGTCGAACTATTACTGCAAATAGTTGACTCTCTGTCTACTTGGAGCAGGGAACTCTTGTCCTGTGAGGCTCCGGTAGATCCAGACCTCGGCTTCGTGAAACAGAACCTTGGCGTTCTTCTGGTCTCTAAACTCTGTAGGTTTCTATCTGAATCTTTGGGTTTCTATATGAATTTTTTTGGGCTTCTATATGAATTTTTTGGGTTTCTATATGAATATTTGGGTTTCTACATGAATTACAAGAAGGAGGCTGAAAGTTTAACTTTTCGGAGGGGTTCAGAAGTCAGCCAAGGAACTACATTTCGTCAAGAGCCTTGGCACGCACGGGCCTAGGGTTTGATATCTACTACTCTACCCTGAAGACTTAGTTAATATTCCTGGCCCTGACAGGGTACACCATGATATTTTTCTAAATGCTATGATACTGTTTTAAGTGCGATGATATTCTTCTAGATACTATGATACTGTTCTAAATAGGATGATATTGTACTAAATACCATGGTATTGTTCAAAATACTATGGAACTGTTCTAAAGTCGGCTCCGCACCGACCCTTAACCCTCATTCTGAACCCTACATGGGTAGTCCTCCAAAGTGGGATCCCTGTTTCGGAACACAAAAGAAGAAGGCGGCATCCTCATGAAAAGGACCTAGAGGGGACTCTACATAATTCTAAGAAATACCCACATCCTAAAGCCTCAAGTGCACGCAGAAGCAGAACCCTGAAACTTTCCAGAGGCCTCTCCGCCCCATTTTCAGTTAGTGTCGGTTTGGGCTAGTTTTTACTATCCCTCATTGTTTCCTCTAAGAGCCCTAGTTACATGCAATTTGCCAACCTTCAGTACCCAAAGGCTCCTATGTACTATTATGGGGAATACTTCCCCAACTCATAATAGTAATTCCTGATATAGAAACCCTACATTCTACTATATCGGTACTTTGGGCCCTTTGGGGTAAATGGGGCCCGGAGTTGATGGTGTTTTATGTTGCAGCGGTAAGAATCGGAATCCGGATATGCGTGGTCTGCCTGTTTTTGCTTTGCAACAGTAGTCGTTTATAAGTTCCCATAAACTGGAATCCACCGGACAAAATGTTCAACTTTGAACCCCACCCCAAAAGTGAGCCTACTTGTTAGAACTTCTGAGACACGCCCTAGATCCCAAACGCTGAAATCCCTGAACCCTTGAACCCCTAAATCCGAAACCCTAAACTCCTAAACCCTCATAAACCCCTAAACCCTAAAAAAACCGAAGCGCTTTCTGAAACCATCAGGTGGTACGAAAACAAACACGTTCGGATCGACGACAGGGCCCGATATCTTCTACCAGGTGGGCTTCCCTTGGGTTTAAGGCTTAGGGGGTTATTTAGGGCATTTCGGATGTTCCCTAAACCTCTCAAAACCCTACACCCTATAATCACCCTAAACCCTAAACCCTATGTGAGAAGCTGGTAGCCCTTAAGGCCAGCACGTCGCGTTGGTAGGGGCAGCCTGAGTGATTGTACTCGCCAGTGCGGGTGGGCAGATTATATTGACCAGGTATAAGGTCATACACACCCTAAACCCCTAAACCCTAAACCTCTCAAACCCTCGAACCCGAAACCTGAAACAGCGAGAGTTGGTGTACGTCCCTTCGAGCAAAGGCAAAGGCCCTCCCACTTGTAGTCCCGTCGTCCCCTGAAAAAGCGGTTTAGGGTTTGGGGTTTTAGGATCTTAGGGTTTAGGATTTCAGGGTTTAGGGTTTTAGGGTTTAGGTTTTTAGGGTTTAGGCCCTTGTTGGTTCAATACCAAGAGGTTCCATATACACTACCATTATGGGACTAGGTCCCCCAAACCATAGTGAGTATGGTCTTTTGGGATCTAATTCCATAATCTAAGCGTATATGGACCCCCTGGGGTAGGTGTTTCGGGCCATGGCTTTCAAGTGATAATAAGGAGCCCTAAGATGTTTAAGCCCCGATAGTAGGGATCTTACCCTACATTGGGGTCTAAGATTTGGGCTTGCTTGATTTGATGTGTCTTAAGGTCAACCGCAGTCAAGATGCACAAGGGCACTGCAAAATGTGCTTTACGAGAATTTGGTTGCGCTGGTCCTTCACCTTGACGGTTCCTACAAGCAAACTTCTTCCATGTTACTACTTCTTCTCGTGCTCGGCCAAACAGCCACCAGAAACGGGGTTACAAACCGAACGGCCGCATCATAGCGAATCCCATACTCCATGCATACAGAATCCTTCGCAAACTCTCATGTCTTCCCTCAGCCGTGAAAGCCAAAGCCCCAACCCAATAGCCCAAGCCCCGCGCACCCAGATCTGAAAATTTGTGACTCCAGTGATTAAATAAGGATTGTTTGACGAAGATTGCTGAGATTCTAGCAGGGTTCGACATAAGGGACGAACTCACAAGACTCAACCGCCTGACACTAACTAAGGACATACTAAGGACTATACTCGTACCTTAAACTCCCATAGGATCTTAACAAGAAGTTTGAATACGCCGACCCCGACGAAAGTGCCTTTACGAGGGTCCAGGTGCTTATTCTGGGTATGTACTCTTCCTTCTACCGGGTTGCCTTTGCAGTTGCTTCAGGCCCTGATGAAAATTCGCGGGCCGAAATAAGCAACAATAACATTTCCAGATAGCCCCTAACCCATCAGCTGACGAGTCCCGACTTTGGCCATATCAAGAGCCCATCGACTTCGGCAAGGTTGTTCAGTCATGTAAGTTTTGTTTCTGAGTTGCTACTATGCGTTACTAAGCCGCCTAGTGGGCCTAGCCCCCTAGAGTATGACTAACCCAAAAAGTTTGCACTTTTTCACAGTGGGTTACTAAACAGCCTAGCTAGTCTGCCTGGCCACCATGCCAGCCTGCGCCGTGTCCGAAAGCGCCACAAGATCGACCCGTTGGCTGCTTTCCCGGGAATCCGTGCCTGGGCTTCGTTGTTTTGGTTTACTAGGTAGGGCTTTGGGACATTTTATATTTCCCCTTATTGGGCTCAAGAGGATCTTATTTACCAATATTTTTCAAAGGCATTAAAAGCTCCACCTAGTTTAGGGTTTAGGGTTGGCAAGCTTCAGGTTCCAGCTTACGTCAAGGGATCACAAGCAGCGGTTTGGGGTTCATCAGATCTCCCGGCAATCATTTACCAACACAGAATCTGTAGATGGTAACTTATGGTCTTGAATGGCAGGTTTTTTGCTCTCGGATATGCGGCTCCGGGTGGTTGGTAGGGTTCATTAGGCTCTAGGGTTCTAGCGTGTCGGTGTGAAGTTCGGGGCTTTTTCGGTTCTTGGATCGTCACGCTTTCATACATGACATATCATGAACTTCGCTTCCCTCCCCGAGCAGAACAGCGGCAAATCGAGACATTTTCATCTCCAAGCGACCAGTGACTCAAGCCGCCTTCAGCCGAATCAACCTTCTCAATCCTTAGACACGAAACCCCTAACCACTAAGCCCTCGAGTTTAGGGTGTAGGGTCTTGGGAACCCCAAATCCTGAACTCTAAACGACTCTAAACCCTCAAGCTCTATACCCTGTAGACCCGCGGAGCCCAACGCCTCAAATTCGCATTCTCAGATTGATCGCGCACTATCAACCCTGAAACAGGGGCAATGTGACGGGCTGCAACGCGACCAACTGGGACTCACGCCCCAGTTCAGCCTGCTACGAACCGTTCCTTCGGCTTGATGCTTAATTTAGTGGGGCTTCAGGTTTAGAGGTTTGGGGCTTCGGGCTTTAGGGTTCGAACATCGGTGCTTGAAGACAAGCAGGGTTTGGGCTGTGTTTGAGTGTACATAGAATAACTCTGCTGTCTACTATTCCGACCTTCTTGATTGTGTATACAACGGTTTGAACTGAGTGTATCCAGGTTGTTTGCGACACTAAACTTGCCCCAAACCCCATAACTGCCCGACATCCGACATTCTATCCGAAACCCTAAAGCTCTTTTGAATTGGACTGTCTACGTCTCCCAAGTCACAACCGACCCATCCCCAAGAATGGCGGCAACAGCCAAACCAGAGGCTTGCATCTGCCGCACGTTCTTCAGCTGGGCCTGCACAGCACTACTGTCGGTGCTTCTGACGTCGTCAGCATCACCCCACATCACAACGGATCCGCCGCCAAGAATTGCAGCAAGACCAACGCTAGACGATTGGATCTGCTGCAATTTTTCAGCTCTTCCTGCACATCCCAGCAGTCGCCACCACTGGCAGCACGCCCCAGGTCACGACAGATCTTGGATCTGTTGAAGCTTCTTCAGCTGGCCCTGCACAGTACTACTGTCGCCACCAAAATCGGCATGACCCCAGGTCATAACCGATCCATCGCCAAAAAGAGCAGCAAAAACACCACCCGAGTACTCCCTGAATCATCGGCCGCCCAGTGCTTTGCGACGTCTGTAGTTGTCCATCTCACAAGGAGCTGGAGAACCGTAGCTAGTCTTCGCTGAAGTCTGGTTTTGGGACATCTGAACCTGTTCGGAACCGGAACCTCCTCGGTGACGTGTGGAGCCAAAGGAAACCTCCTAAGTGCTGTTGTCTGACGGTCTCTTCAAGTTCTACAGCTCAAATTCGGAAAGCCCGCATCACCCGAACTTTAGGGTCTTCGAGTCAGGATATGTATTTAGGGTCCCCCAAAATGCACCAGGTAGAATGGAGTGCTTCAGGGGTGGCTGGGGGGGAACCATTCAACAACCACATCGAGCACAATATGGGGATATGATTAATCCCTTCCCCCTAATGTTGAACGGTGGGTTCCCCCCTCAATATACAGAGACGAAACTTCCCTTGCTCGTAGACGCGCTGTCGCTGCAAGAAAGGACTGAGACGGTTGAGAGCGTCAGCGCAAACCACGAGGCACCATCCATGGACGCTCGAGAGGATATGCGACGGCCGGACGCTATCAACCCCCCCCCCCCGCCCTACGTACCCCCTACAGGGAACTCCAGAAAGTTGGAATATGGTTTCAGGGTAGGATACCCTGTAATCTACCATAGAAGGGTTAGGGTTATCATATTCCAACTTTCTGGCTTCTACTATATATAGTCCTTGACCGCAGCATCAACCCAGGGAATCTCCTGCAAAGAACAGTAAAGACCACATGATCTAACGTGGCGCCCTATGCGCCCGGCACCGTTTGGCGAGGGCTTTGTCAGCAAAGAACCTTTGAAGGACCCTGGAAGGAATCCCAAGGAATCCTTACAGGCCTTTAAAGTAACCCTATCCCTCCAGGGACCTCATCATCGGGTCCTTAAGGGGTCTAGGGCCCTAAGTATGAGGTCCTTGGAGGGATAGGGGTAACCCTTACAGAGCCTTACAGAACTTTCCACCCTAAACCTGTAAACAACAAGAACACGAAACCCTGAGACCGAAATCCATAAACCCTAAACACTTATCGTCGGAAAAGCATATGGGAGTTTCCGAAATTAGCGGTACCATATTCTGGGGTCCTTATAATAAGGATCCTACTATTTAGGGTACTATATTATTTTCGGAAACTCCCATATGAAGAATCCTAAGAACCCCTTAACAAATGCTTCTTCTAGAGCGAAGCACGAAACCCCAAACCGTTGAATCCTAAGCCCTCATAGAACCCTGGTTAAAGCCCTGAACCCCGAACCCATGAAAGGAACCGTCAAGTGCACCTAAACCCTAAGCGAACCCTGCTCAGGGATGGCCTCAACGTTCTGGATATTTGGCTCAGGAACCGGGCATGCCGCGCAGGTGGGATCTGTCCCTACGCCTTGGGATTTGGCAATTTAGCGGTGTTAAGGGTTTTATCATTTTGGGATAGTGTTAAGAGTTTCTCGCCGTGCAACGGTAGTATTCCGCGGACACACGCGAACTTGTGACGGGCGTGCGGTGGGGCCGGGGTTTGGAAGTTTCTGGCAGTTTGGACGGAGAGTGGGTGGAGGAGGAGAGAGTGGGTGCGAAGTCAACCCGTACCATGGCCTGGGCCCAGACTTACGCCGGCGACGTCCTAAGTAGGCTCGGGTTAGGCCCGGAACCCCAAACCGGGGAACCATGCAAGCCTAATTGCATCTTTAAGACCAGAAGTCTCCAATAGTTTGAAAATATTTCCGAGGGGGGCCCTGGTTTTCTTCCTGCCAGGTATCTTTACCACCCTCACCGAGGTTCAGGTTACATTGGACGGAGTGACGACGAACCTTACGGACTCGGCTTGGCGGGGAGTCTCGTGAGTTTGCTTTGTTTTCGCGAGGCTTAGGACTTTGGGGTTCCGGGTTTTAGAGTTTAGGGCTTCAGGTTTTTGGGTTTATGGGCTAAGGTTTGCGCGGCCGAGGGGTACTTCTTTTAAAAGCTTTGCATTTTCGGGGTCTTGGTTTGTTTTTTCGGAATCTTCCAAATCACGCGTGCAGCGTGGTGTCTAGCTGCAGCAGACCTTGCTTTTACATAGAACAACATGACCCCAAGGCTAAGTTGAACAAGTAGTTTTACTATTGTTGGGCTTGCGGTTCAGGGTTGTGGATCTGGGGTTGTAGTTTAGGATTAGATTAGAGGTTTAAATGCTCAAGGCCATATGAGCCCTAAACTCAAAGCCCTGCGTTTGTGGTTCTCAAAATCATACATGACTTCTGGTTCCGAGCTGGGTTTAGGGTTTAGGGTGACGCTCTCAAGCCCTAACCCTTAAACTAAGCCTAAACTTAACTCCGAATCTGTAGAACCCCACAACCCTGAAGCTTTAAACCCAGAAAGTAGAACCTAAGCTCCAAACCATATCCTGAACGATCAGATGCAGCGCAAAGGCCCTTAGTCCTGAATTTCGGGCCTCCAGTGTTCATTACCCATAGGCCCATGGTAGTTCCTTGTTGGGGTTCATGTTTAGAATCCTATCGGTATTCCCAAAAAGGAATTACTATGGTGCCTATGGGTATTTACATGTAGCCCCAAACCTAAACCCTCCAAATCTGACTCCCGGAACTCCTATACCGTAAGCCCTGACGCACAGAACACCATAAACGGCATATCAAAAATTAAAAGCAACAACACAAGAAGCACCAAAACTAAACCGACTCCGTTCGCAGGATGTGGGGCCAATCCCAGACTGCGATGCGAGCTCTGACCTGCGAGTATGCGACTTCGATGGCTTAGTTGAACTCTTTATCCTGCAAGCAAAACCCCACCATCTCAACGAATCGAATTGCGTATAATTATACGGAACGCATACTCAAGAACCCTGAACATGTGGATAACTTAGGGTCCAGGTAACAATAGGGGTTTAAGGGTTAGGGTTTATGGTTACGCTTTCTTGCTGATCTTCCCTCTTATGCTTTCTTGTTGATTTTCCCGTTACCTTCAAGGGCTTGCTTTGATGGGATTCTCCAACAGCTGCAGGAGTTCAGGTCTTTGGGCACTGCGGGTTGGAACTTTGGAAGTCTGAGGCGGGTTTCAAGGCTTGCGGCACGGTGTTACGAGGAAAAGGCTCTCGGTGTCGGGTTTGTGGGGTGTTTGTTTGGGGCTCGATTGGGGCTTTGTGGTTTCAGCTGCTACCCTAAACCCCTAAACCCTAAAATTTAGGTTAGGGTTTGGAGCCTTCCCTGGCCTCTTCGGCTCTAGCTCCATTTCGAGTCCTGGTTTGAGGTTCAGGGCCGCTACAAGCATGAAAACATATCGAATCCGAAGATCAAGAAATGCCCTAAGCCCTATATAAACCCTAGACCTTGAACCCTAATCCCTCACGACCAGCCGGGCAGACATAAAAGGAGCTCAAAAAAGAACCCTAATCCCTAAACCCTGAACCCTAAAGGCCTTGAGCCCTAAACCCTCAACCCCTTACCCGATTGGAGGGCCCAAGAGCTCCTACCGTGGGCCTTTGGGTTTTGGGGGTGTCTTTAAAGGGTCTGTTTAGGGTTTAGGGCTTAGGGTCTAGGGTTTGGGTTTTTGGGGTTTAGGGTTTAGGATGTAGGGTTTGGATTTCTTTCAGGGTCTGAGAAGTCGGAGTTTTGAGGTCAGGCACTGAGATGTGTAAGGGAGTTTAGAAAATCGGTGCGCTGGTCTAAGCCTGAGCAGTTGGATCGATGTTGCCCCAGAAGCAGGCCCATACGGCTAGGCTATTTGCGATCGCAAGAGAGTTCAAGCCAGAAGTTTCCAAACCCCGGTATGCAGACCTTCATAGCAGAATCCCTACACAGCCTGGTACGACACCTCAACAGGTGCGGCATCTACTCTAAGGCTCCATAATAATCGGGTTCCCGGGTTCCCTTTTATAGGGAAAATAGGCGACAAGAGGGTTACATAATCGGGGCCACAGCCTTAGTCGGCCAGGATCTATCCCAAACGGGGACGTACAAGAAACACACCTAAACCCTAAACCCTAAACCTTAAACACAATAAACCCTAAGCCGCAGCTTCAGGCTTTTACGTGCCCGGGTTCGGCACCGCATCCAATTGGGTTGCGAACGCCATCTACAACTTCGGTGCCAAGAAAGCCCAGTAGTACATTTTTCGACTTTTGGGGTATAGGGTTTAGGGGTTTAGGGGTTTAGGGTTCAGGGTAGTAGTATTTCTTGTCACTTTGTGTACTGAGGTTTAGGGGTTTAGGTTATTTCCTTCGCTTCTTTGTCCTGGTTTTCCGTCTTCAGATGGTTGAGATTTGGGTGGTTGTCAAAATCATGGCCCCTTTTGGGTCCTTATCATAATACGGCACCTAATATTTAGGGTACCCAAAAAGGGACCCCAACTTTGGCAACTACCCATTTGTAGCATGCAGTGTCAAGCTCGTCCTTGGCAGACCTGCCAACCAAGCTGCGAGATCGGAAACTCTACCTATAGTCTCCATTGTAGTTATTTTTTTGGGTTTTCTTGTAGGATCCTAACTATAAACATGGTTTAACGGTCCAACCAAAAAAGGGGATTACAATGGAGACTTTTGGTATGCCCCAAATCGCAAGCCATGACATTCTGAACGCAACCTCCGGTCCACTTACACACTGCAACCCGCCAAACCCCAAACCCATAATAACCCTAAACCCTGACCTGGCCCTGAACCCTAAACCCTTAGCAATAGGAATTCTTAGATTTCCTCGATAAAAAGATACAGAACAAATATACAGTAGATCCCAAAGCCCTATAGCCCAAGGGGCGTGATATAAAACCTTATGTTATTGGATGCTAAAGGAAGCGTGGATTGGAAATGGTGCCGAATAGTACAGGGAGTTTTGTTGCCCGAAGCACCAGTATGAAAAGGGGGCAGGGTGGCACTCAGGAGCCGTGAGCCCACAATGTGTGGCCGTGGCCACCGAATCTGGGTCTTGATTTTTCGGTTAACGAGTGTATTGATTTTGCTATTGCCCAGAGGGACCATCTATGCTACCACAGTGGCATTTGGTCGCATAAGACCACCTGTATCATGGTTGTGGGGAGCTAATTCTATAATCGTAGTATATGTGGACGCTCTAGGTTACAACCTCTACGGGACCAGGTGCTCAAACTGCAGAGGGTTCAGGTTCCAAATACTAAGCTTACTAAGCCTTAGTATTTGGGACCAAGCCCTAAACCCTAAAGTACTCAGGTCCGCAACCCGCTGTGTGAGAAAGCAGGCTCAGCCTTTTGCATGGTCATCGTGGTGGTTAATGGGGTCACATTTCAGGTTCTAAACCCCCTTAAGCCCTATAAGCCCCACACCCTCAACCCCTAAACCCTGAACGCCTAAACCTGGAAGCCCGAACAACCCTCAACCCCAAACCCCTCCAGGGATCTGTTCCCCGAGAGCACTGCTAGGTTCGAGCTCCAAGCTTGCCAACCCGAAAGCTAAACCCTAAGCACTTCTGAAGCCACAACCAAGGAGGCACCTTCCTACTCCGATTGTGGGATTAGGTCCCCAAAGCCATGTGAAGGATTGGGTCTTCAGGGGCCTAGTTCCATAGTAGTGGCATACGGAGCCCCTGGGACAGCTAAGGAGAAAGGGCTCAATGTGACGGAAGCATGCTTCGACACTGTGCAGGGGCAGTGCCAGACGATTGCCTCGAATTCTTCGCAAACGGCACGGGGGGTTTGCGGTTCGTCGACGGAGCTGAACAGTGTGGACATCCAAGCCCGGCAGTTTACGGGTGTTTTCTAAGTCGCCTGCACTGAGAAGCCCAGAACTCTGGTACGCGTGGAGGCGACCATACTTGAAGGCCCTAGGCAGGTTTTTATCCTATGTTCGCTGTACTTGACACCAAACTAATGGCTCGTAGACGAAGCCATGGGAGCCTTTGAGTCAAGTAGATACGCTTCTGACCCGAGGAGCCCCGTTACCTACATGATGAGTTACTACTCCTTTCATTCTATCCTCGTGGTACCAAGCATTCTGGCAACTTACTGTAGAGGTATCTGGGCTCTTACGGTTGGCAAAGCACTATGAAAGTTCGGGGACGCCAGGTCTTCGTGGCTCTTTTGCATTCGGCAAAGCTGTACTTCAGAAGGAAGCCACAAGATGCACAGAGGCAGCCGAGGCTCAGCTTGTCCGGCGGCTGATGACGATTTCTTTTTAGGGTTTAGGGGTTTAGGGGTTTAGGGTTTAGGGGTTTAGGGTTTTGGTTCTTATCCCGAAAATTGTCCATATGACTCGAAATGGTCCGAAAAGGTACTTGGCCGCTTGATAAGGTTTGTGGCTGAGCCAAAGAACCCGCCTTTTGCAGGGTGGCTCCAGCACCCTGGATCATCTGGTCTTTCTTTGCGAGTTTGTGCAGCTTGCTGCCTGCCTAATTAAACAGCTGGGGACTTGTTGACACTAACCTCGTTTTAACACCGAATTAAGTCAGGATTTTTCTGGACAAGTCCCTAATTAAACCGTCTAGAAACTCTTGCACTGTGGCAAACACGGCTCAGGGCAACAGCGACGGTGACACTGATTTTTGCGCAGCTGGCGAGACAAAGTGCGCTGCATTAAACCCTACAGCCCGAGCATTCATTTCTTTGTTTAGGGTTCAAGGGTTTAGGGTGCAGGGTTTTAGGGTTTAGGGTTTAGGGTGCGGGGTTTTAGGGGTTTAATATAGGGGCCTGAATGACTAGAATAGTGTCTTGGGGACCATGATACTATGTCTTCTGGATTCCCGGGATTGGGTTTGAGGGTTTAGGTCTATTCGCCCCGCAGCCGGCCCAGTTTCCGACTGCCTTGATGCACCCTATTGGATAACGGACTTGTTATAGTTGCGGCGGCTTAGATTGAGTGGAAGAGCCTGTCCCCACTTGCGCGCTCAGCCCTTCAATTCCTAGAGGCCCCCAAACCCCAAGCTCCGAGCCACACAGCTCTACATGCTTGATTTTGTTTTTGGAGTCGTGGTTTGTTCTGGGAGCTCCGCTAGTTGCGTCGAACAGATTATTTTCTAAAGGCTTTAGGCCTTTGGGGCTTGTTTTCTTTGGTATCTGGGAGTTTACATGTCCTTCGTAACCCTCGAAGGATCCCAACGTATATCTCTTGAACCAGACCCTGTCTTATGCCGTACTTTGGCAGAATTCCTTGTGCACCGCCTTTATGGCACCTTCATAGGAAACCCCAAAACCTATAGACCCTAAACATCCGAAGTCCTTGCTTCTGCCAGAATCCCTGCCCAAAGATCCGTTCTTGTGGGACCTCTGGAAGCTCTAGCAGAAGCCAGAAAGTTGGAGCATCATTCTCCTCATGCTCTTCAGGTGAAGCATCAGGGATCCTAGCACTATTCCTCCGAAAGCCATGTTCCAACTTCCTGGGATTCGCTCTAGGGTCGAGGGTTTAGGGTTGTGGGACAGGAGTTTGTCAGACTCCCTACCTCACATACCTAGGAATCTTAGGGTACACCCTACATTAACACCAAAACCTACTTTTTGAGGAGCTGTAGCGGAATCACAATAACGAACCCTAAACGTGTAGGTATCTTAGGGTCTAGGTAGAAAACCCAAAACCCCAGTTAATCCTAACTATAAAAATGGCTTAACCAAAAATAGGGAACTCAAATGGATACTATAGATATGTCCTAAACCCTGAACCCTACATAAGACCCGAAAGTGAAGAGACTCTCAATTGAGGTCCTCGGCGGTTGCGAGGTCGGCTGCGCTTGATTTTAGCAACCCGACGCTCGAAATCCCTAACCCTACCTCCCAGACCTTCCAAAACCCCTTAATTAAGGAATATACCTTAAATTATAGTAGGATCCTTAATATGATTTAAGGTATATTCCTTAATTAAGGGGTTTTGGAAGGTCTGGGCTGTTTAGGGGGTTGAGGGGTTTAGGGTTTGGGGTAGCCGGAAAAAGCCTACCTTTGATTGGTGTTTCTTAGTATGGCCTACATACAGAATTCCGTAAACTGGTACGGAGGTTTTTGGGTGCCACAGGTACCCAGACCTTCCTAAACCCCTTAATTAAGGAATATACCTTAAATCATATTAAGGATCCTACTATAATTTAAGGTATATTCCTTAATTAAGGGGTCTTTAATTTAAGGTATATTCCTTAATTAAGGGGTCTTTAATTTAAGGTATATTCCTTAATTAAGGGGTCTTTAATTTAAGGTATATTCCTTAATGAAGGGGTCTTGGAAGGTCTGGGTAGGCCGGATGAAGCTAAGCGCTGAAGTCTGCACCAGGGCATTTCTTGAGACTTCCGGGTTGAAGCTTGAACGGGCTCTCTCTAAAGGGCTCCTTTAAAAGGGAACTATAAGGGCTCCTTTAAAGGGAACTATAAGGGCTCCTTTAAAGGGAACTATAAGGGCTCTCTGAGGGATCTATAAGGGTACTATGATATCGAGGCCTAAAGAAGTACCTGTACTATTTTGGGGGCTCCTTATGACGATAAGCCTTGCACCGACAGACGTCGTGGCAGGTGTTCACCACAGCGGAGATCGTGCTGGTCGAGCTTGTGGACCTCGTGTTTAAGCAGCTCCACGGTTAAGGGTTTAGGGTGTTTAGGGGTTTAGGGTTCAGGGTTTAGGGTGTTTAGGGGTTTAGGGTGTTTAGGTGTTGAGGGTTCAGGGTTTGGTGTATTTAGGGGTTTAGGGTTTAGGGCTTTTGGGTTCAGGGTTTGGTGTATTTGGTGGTTTTGGGTTTAGGGTTCAGGGTTTAGTGTATTTAGGGGTTTAGGGTGTTTGGGGGTTTAGGGTTCAGGGTTTAGGGGGTTTAGGGGTTTAGGGGTTTAGGGTTTAGGGTAGGATTTAAGCAGCTCCGCGGCGTTTCAGCCCTTGATTTGCGATAGTTTTGATTTTGCTTTACTGCTTAGTATGGAGCCCCAACTAATCATGAATAATTTGTCGGGACTGTTGAAGAAGCTGCAGCTATAATTACTGGTTTAGTCCCGAAGCCTTTTCTACTCATTAGGATAAATTTCGGCTCGTGAGGGCTTAGCCTTCAAGGTTTCCGGAGTTGCCAGGTGCCAAGGAATGGTGGGTTCCTTTGCCAAGGAACGCAAACCCTAAAGCCCTAAGCATTATGAATTCTAAACCCTAAACCCTCAGACTCTGCACCCCTGAACCCTAAACCCAACACTCAAAACCCAAGCCAAGGCGGACCCACGACGATGCCACGGGTTTTGAAGAGCTGAAAGTCCTCCCCCGGGAAGCGGAGGCGGCAGGATATTCGCCGCCTGGGCAGGCTTAGGTCTATCTTTTAGGGACCCAAAAAGCACATAAGCATAAAGCATTTTATATAGAATCCTATAAGGTAATCCCAAAAAGGAACTACTTTGGGGCCTCTGGGTATCTTCGGAAAAGGGGGGTTTACTGGGTGCTGGCTATAAATAAGGTACTTAATCTAGCATGTCAGAATAGGGATCTACAGTCAACAATATGGCTTCCTTACCATGGTAACTAGCTTAATTCTGAACCAGAGCTTAGTTTAAGTTTCCATAGGGGAGGGGGCAGGGTTGAACGCTGTGCGGCCCAAGGTACTTATGCTTTGCGGGTGTAGGCGTGGAGGCCTCCAGCTTGAGAGCAGAGGTTTGCAGGGAACTCCAGAAAGTTGGAATATGGTTTCAGGGTGGGATACCTTATAATTTACCATTAAGGGTTTAGGATAATCATATTCCAACTTTCTGGCTTTTACTTTAGGGTTTGGGATTTAGGGCCAAAGTTGGGTTCGGGTGCCAACAAGGCCAAATCGCTCGGGCTATAATTGGGATAGGTTCCGATTCCCAGGTTGTAGACCCTAACAGAACGAAGCGAACAACACCTCAACATCCTGAAACCCACCTGAAAATCATTACGAAATCGGCTTCGGCCCACCCTAAACCTTGATCATCCCAAGCACCCTAAGCCTAAACTACTTAGAGGCTCCATAGTAGTTCCTTTTTGGGGATCATCTTTAGAATCCTATATGGTAATCCCAAAAAGGAACTACTATGGAGCCTATGGGTAAAGGCCCGAAAGCCCCTAAGCCTAAACCCACTGCCAAAGAACAAAAATAATGCCCGACCGTCCGGTCCACGGTTTCTCTCGGCCACAAGCGCCCTGGGGGTGAGATCCGACACCAGCTGCAGCAAAAGCAAAGAAGCTTGGAAGGACCCTTAAACCTGAGCTTCCACCCTAATCCCAAAAGAGCTCTCAAAACAGAAGCGGGTTTAGGGTTTAGGGGTTACCAAGCCCTCAACCCTGAACATTTTTTGTGAAAGCCTTCTGGCATCACCGAACACGACTCCGAATCGAAATTACGCCTTCAGCTCGAAGCCACAAAACTCTTGAACATCGACCCCCTGGACTGTCGGGTTTTGGGACTGAGAGATTAAACTATACGAAGTTATAGCCCCCCAAAGTAAGAGTGGGAGGCATTGGTATTGGCGTAGAAGCATCAGGTGGTTTGGCGGTAGTCGGGCTGGAGCATGTCGGCTGTGGGCGCTGTATTTGTATGTTGTTCGGGGTTTTCAGCTTTACAGTCGTGGTTGGGGTTCATGTTCTTTTGGGTGTCGGCGATAAGCTGAGGGTGTAGAAGGTACCGGGTGTCGGTTTTCGGGCTTTGCATGAAAGGTTTGCGGTTTAGTTAGAGGATCAGTGACTATTGACTTCCTCCTTAGTGGTTCTGGCCGTGGAACAGCACCCCAAGAGCCTGTTCTAGATCGGTAGATGGTTGCATGTGCCCAAAGGGTCCAAGTATCATTATGGTATATACTTATAGGGTATTTTGGGGATCTAAGTATATACCATACCGATACTTGGACCCTTTGGGGTGTATTTGTCGGTAAACGTGCCAGTTGAGGTGATCGGTTGAAGTTTCGGGCTTTTGGGTTTTTTCCAAGCACGAGGTGGACACTTAGCCCTGCAACCCGAACCCTGAACCAGTCGACCACGCATGTATAATTCTGCGTTTTAGGAAAATGCGTACGCACATATATATATATATATGTATATATATATATATATATATATATGTATATGTGTGTGTATACATATGCAACCTTGTATACTCTAACCGCTTATTTGTTTGTTTGTGTGTCCGTCCGTCCGTCGTCCGTCTGTCTCGTCTGTCTGAGTGTGTGTGTGTGTGTGTGTGAATACTTGCTATATGTTCATACACACGCACATAACTTCTCGTGAGGGAGACAAAAGCTCTTCAACTCACTGTTCCTTTAGTCTTCCTGCTGTGTGTCATACTCCGCGGAAGGTTGAAGGAAGGCACAGAGGCAGAGAGAGAGGGAGAGAGAGAGAGAGAGAGAGATAGCGAAAACCCTAACTAATCCTGCACCTAAACCCTAAACTACGCAAAGAACTTAAAGCCAAAATCCTACACCGTCGAGCAAGCCTAAACCTTAAACTTCTAACTCTAAACCCAAGCAGATTGAAAACCTATACACCCGTGCTGGAGCTCATTGCACCACAGCAGCCATGCTGGTGCACTTACGTCGGGGTGTGGCTCCGGCATGCAGGCTCTCTGTTCGGCTTGGGGATTGCATGGCCGGGGGTTTACTTAGAGTCCCCATTGTAGTTCCTTTCTTGGGATATCTTACAGGATTAACCAAAAAAGGAACTACATGGGAGACTATAGGTATCACCAAATCGCAAGCCATGACACTCTGATCTCAATCTCCGTTTGAGATTCCAGGGCTTAGGATTTCAACTCAGGACTTCAAAGGGGCTTCGGAGTCGAGTTAGGGCTTCCGGGTGTTAGTTGTTCGGGGTTTGATATATATATATATATATATATATATATAGTATGTATATATAAAAGTATGTATGTATGTATATATATATATGTATATGTATGGATTTAGGGTTTAGGGTTTAGGGCTTTATATATTTGGGTTTACAGTTTAGGGCAGAGGTACGTGTAGGACGTCCTGGAATCCCTGAGACCCCCGTGAAGCATTGCTTTTACCTTGTACCTGTAACCGCCTTGGAAATCCAGCAGGTGTCAAGTGTACGTAAAGACCCTCTGTGCTTTTCTAGATCCTAATGAATTTACCTGGTGAAGGAGGTATATAACATAAGGAAATCCTGACAATGAGCCTCAACGTGAGAGGCTATTCAGGTCCATATTGTTGTGCAGTTCTTCAACGCCCTACAGTCAGGCTTCTTGCATTCTTGCGCCACATTGCGTTTTTCAAAAGACGGAAAGCTGCCATTTCCGCGGCCTCAGATCCCTGAAAAATACATCTCCACCCTGAAAAATACATCTCCAGCCTTAAACCATATTAAACCCTACACCCCATGGCCCCGACAGCAGAAATGAAGAGCTGGACTGCGATGCATAGCCCACCCTACGGGTCCTATGTCCTCGGTATTTGCAAAACCCTATGTACTACACTAAAAAAACCTAATCTCACTAGAGTTTTCCGTTTTAGGGCTTAGCATTGCTGCGCAGGCGGATCTCGATCCGGTTTGCCACTACCACGCAGCCGCTCGGGATTTAGGAGTTTACCAGCACCCCCCCCCCAAATGCCCTTTGATAGAGTCCTTATCGTCCTTAATAGTGGGTATTTAGGGTATAGCAGAGGGTAGCTTGGGGGTCTTGGTAGGAGTGAAGGTCGGGTTTTTGATAGGGCAAAGCCCTCAGCTCACGTGAGCACGTGAGCCACGGTCAGTATGAAGGAGATACGTAGGAAATCCGTCATGGGCCTTCTGGAGTCCTGTGAAAGAAAGAAGCGACAGTGGCTTATGTCTTATGTAGCCTTGTGACCTAGCACGCTCTTCGCGGCGATTCGGTACTCTTTCCGCAGAGTCCCTAAACCCTAAACCTAAACCTAAACCGTAGGGGTTTAGGGTTTAGGGTTTAGGGACGGTTTAGGGTTTATGTAAACCATAAGCCCCTGACACCTAAACCCAGATGCCTCGAGCCATGGAAGCCCAACTTGCGATCGGAATCTCGACTCTTCTGCCGGATTTGGATTGATAAACATTCCCGCACCCATAGGCCCCAAAGTAGTTCCTTTTTGGGAGTACCTTATAGGATTCTATATACGAACCCCAAAAAGGAACTACTTTGGGGCCTTAGGGTAGAGCTCCGAATATCCTGAGCAGTGTACTTGTGTACTTGTCGCCAAACCACTGCTCTGATTCTCAAGGTCCTTACATGAAAGCTTACATTAAAGCCTACACCCAAACCCGAAACCCCAAACCCTAAACCCTAAACTAAACCCGAAACCCTAAACCCGAAACCCTAAACTAAACCCGAAACCCTAAACCCTGAACCCTAAACTAAACCCGAAACCCCAAACCCTAAACCCTAAACTAAACCCGAAACCCCAAACCCCATGATGAAAGATGTCTTTCTTTAGGGCTGCGCCGGCGACACCATCCTGGGCAAAGCCGCTGTTATGGGCTGGAGTCGCAACATCGCAGGCCAAACATGGGGCTTCAGGGTTTTAGGCTTTAGGGTTGGGCCCGCCTGCAGTCTACCGAGGTCAGAATGAGCAACTGTTTGAACGTGTTGTTTAGGCAAGGCGTCCAACGTGTTTTTTGGGTTGAACCCAGACCTTCCAAAACCCCTTAATTAAGGAATATACCTTAAATTATAGTAGGATCCTTAATATATATATATATATATATATATATATATATATTCCTTAATTAAGGGGTTTTTGGAAGGTCTGGGAACTTCAAGGATCATATGACCTGCGGGTTCCAAAGCCCGAAACACCCCAAACCCTAGACATCCCTAGGCCAAACTATCCTAGGATGCCCAGTAGTACCCTTATTCCCTTTTCGTAGTCCTAGGTTCCTTATAAAGATACCCAATACCAAAAAGAGAGGCTTTTTTATTCTTAGGTTACTGGGTATCCTAGTATCGTTGGTTGTGGACAGCTGTGGTTGTCGATTGTGTTGTTGTTTGGCGTGGTGGGTGTGTTTTTGTCAGCGGATTGGGGTGGGGTTGAGGGTTGCGGGATGACCGCAAAACTGGTTCCGCCCCGGGTGTAAGGAGCGTCATGAAATCCAGAAGGTTTTGTTTAACAAAGGTGGTGGGTTAGAGGTTGCGGCTATCTCGGCCTGGACAGTGAGAAGATGGTTTTAGGGTAATTATGTTATTTATGTTATACTTGTAGTACACATCGATGATGATTGCAAGTATTCCTTCCCCTACTAGGAAGCCCAGTAGTACCCTTATTCCTTTTTTGTAGTCCTAGGTTCCTTCTAAAGTTACCCAATACCAAAAAGGGAGGCCTTTTTATTCTTAGGTTACTGGGTATCCTAGCCTACCTTACCTTACTCACATGTCACCATGTCAAGAGGGCCAAAGCCGACTCTCTCAAAGGGGTTTCCGGCTTCCAATGTCTCAGCTGACTGCTTCAAGTCTTAATGCCCCTTAACCCAAGGCCACACCTAGACACCCGGCCCCACTCACCTTCTGTTCCGTCAATTTACCCACCATAAAAGACCATAATCGAGGCTCTTGGATGGTCCCAGCAAGCCGCCTAATCGCATCCCGAACCGCCTCTAAAATGCAAAACCCTAAATCATTCCATATAACCCATCCTAAATCCGAAATCCAAACGTCCAGGTGAGCCTCTTCTATCTCTTCAGAGATTTGGCAGATCTGTCACAGTGGGTCATGGAGCCACCACGGGCAAGCACCATCTCCACTTGGAGGTCAACCTTCCATGAGTTGCTGGCAAAGTAGGGCTTAAATGCATATAGGGTTTGGGATTTGGAACGTCAACCTGCCTTTAGTCTGCTTGGGGTTTCGGCAAGCTTCCTTGAGTTCAACTGTACATAGGACCTACCTACATTTTCTCTGGTTTGTACGATCGTAAACTGCGCTTCGTGTAGTTTGATCGTATATAGGGCTTTCTTCACTTCTGGTGTATACTATCCTAGGATTGTATCGTCTGTTTCTTTATTTAAACTCGAGTCCATGAATAAAGGTCTTTTGCGGGCGGAAAGTTCGAGTTTTGCATGGGGGTTGAAACCGCAAGCTCTAAAGCTCTAAACCGAGGCCGTGACATTTGGTTGACTTGAAGTTGTTTGTTCATGTCGCTGGCAAGGTTGGGCCGTTTTTCGGAGGGTGCATTGGTCTTGACGACTTTTCGCTTCAGGGGCTATAATGGAGAAGCTTGCGCCTAACTTTCGTCCGATTGCTGATTGAACTTGACACAGATGCCAAAGCACATCGGGTGGAGTTTTTGCGCTTTCTGGATATGGCATGGGAGTTTCCGACATTATAGGGGACCCTAGTATAGTACCCAGTAGGATCAGTATTATAAGGACCTGAAAATAAGGTACCCCTAATGTTCGGAAACTCTAAACCCTAAACCCTATAGATCCCTTATAGGGACCCTTAAAGGAACCCTTAAAGGATCCCTTTAAAGGTACCCCGAAACTCCCATATCTGAACTTGCAGGTCGCAGAATCTATACTCGGCCCTCACACTGGCGCCGATGGGTTTGTGCGCCACCCTCAAGGCCACGCAGGGTTGGCACTAAGAGTACTAAGAGTGCTTTGGAGGTATGTATGTATATATATATATATATATGTATATATATATATAGACATGGATGCCGATACGGGAGTTTCCGAGAATCGGGGACCCTAATAGAATAGAATCGTAGGATCCTTATTATAAGGATCCCAAAATAAGGTACCCCCCCCCCCCCCCCAATTTTCGGAAACTCCCATATACGTATCATGGGGATCCTTGTTATCCTATTATACCCGACAACGCTGGTGAAATCACTCAGGACCTCATGGAGTGCGAAGTACTGTAACCGTTGCAAGCCCCTGTGGACCCGTTTAGCAGGTATGAGCTTCTAGAGTTCAGGGTTTAGGGCGTAGAGGAAACTTATTCTACTTGTCAAGGCTGATGGATCGCCGGGGCTGGGTCTTAGGATATAAAGTTCACAGGAGGCGGGCTCTACGCTGAGGGTTTAGGCGGTTTAGGCGATCCTAAATATAGGTACCCGATCATTAGGCCCTTTGGACCCTTTTGGCTCAGGCTCTAGGAATACTCCTGGTGCTCTCGGAAACTAGGAGTTCTGAGACTCCAAAGAGACACCCCAACACTCCGGAACCTATCCAGGGCCTGTAGATTCGTTGAAATGCCAATAACAAGGCTCAACATATGTATATACATATGCATACGTATATACATACACATAGATATGGATATACATATATATATATATATATACATATACATATATACATACACATACATACATATATATATATATATATATATATTTGTATATACGTAGTTGTATATACTTGTAGATGCACACATAGACATAGAAAGAGATAGCACCCTTATAGAACCTTCGTAGAGCTCCAGTGAAGCAGAAGGAGTATGGGCGTGGGGTTGAAGCCGAAGGATACTCAGATGCCGAGTGCTAGCGAAAAACACCCTGTTCCACAGCCCCGGCTACAGGAACCGTATGAACAGGAACCCTAAAGCCCTAAACCCTAAAGCCCTATGTAAACCCTAAACCCCAAACCCTAAGCCCTAAAGCTCTCCACCTCTAAACCCTAAACCCTTCCGGGTGGCTCTAAGAGTCCTTTCTGCTGTTTCGGGGTTTATGGCCAACTACAGCCACTAGGTATAAAGTATCAAAGCTCTTCACATCTCTGGATGTCCGTCCTAACCATGATTGTAGGCTTTAGTGTTTAGGGTTTAGGCCTCAATACGCCCCTAATAAAGTCGTAGATCCCAAACCCGGGAAAGTAAAACCCCAAAGCTCTAAACTTTCCAACCCTGAACCCCCAAACCCCTAAAGCCTATGAGACCCAACAGCGCCCGCTCCGTGAAGGTATTTTACCCTCATGTATGCTCCTGGCGAATGCTGCTGGCCATCGGGGGCTGGACGGCTTGTTGCTGTTGCGTTTCATCTATCTTTTTCGCGTCATGAGATGAGGATTTCGAGTTGGGATCAAGGGCATGCTATCTAACCGAATCTAACCTATCCTACCCTACCCTGCCCCACCCGACCCTACCCTATCCCATCCTATCCTATCCTATCTATCGGTCTATCGATCTGACCTAATATAAACTAGCCTAGCCCAACCTATTCTATCTGTCTATCTATCTAAAGATACATGCAGAATGCGTCTGATATATGTATATATGCACACATGGTACATACATACTACAGGGAAGCAAAGGAAGCAACAGACCATTAACGAAGAAACAAGAATCAAACGAATAGTTAGGTACACACAGACATATGTATATATGTATATATGTATATGTATATATGTTTATTTGTATATATGTATGTTTATATGTGTATATATGTATATGTAAATATGTATACACATACATGCATACATATCTGTATACACACATGCGCACACACACACACACACGCACACACACACACATACACACACACACACACACACACACACACACACACACACACACACACACACACACACACACACACACACACACACACACACACACACACACACACCCGCGCACCCGCGCACCCGCACACCCGCACACCCGCACACCCGCACACCCGCACACCCGCACACACACACAGATACGTACTCCCACAGACCTACAGTCTATTGTGCCCAGGGCTTGTTTTCTTTCCTTAAAACAACAAAGTCTTTGGTTTCTTCTTCTCAGACAAGAGATCTTCGAAGTATAGCTCAGGGCTTGCTGCCTAGTACCCTCTACAGCGGGTCTTATACACTATTTGGCAGGTGGTTCGGGTCTTTGTTGAGGTCAGCGTGGAATTAGGGTATAGGGTTTAGGTGGCCGAGTGGGAGCAAGGGGGGGGGTGGATTCTGGGTGGATCATAGCTTCAACTTACTGCTTCGTGAGCAGGACCGGTCTCCTCTACTTCTCCTCCGCCATCAACCCCCACATTATGATGCGCGCGAGGCGCACCTTCGATTCACCACTGACCGAGGTTCCAAGCCCAAAAACCCCATGCCCAAACACCACAGAAGCAGAATGAATGACTCGATCACCAAACCTTAAAGCTGCAAGCCTATCGTAGCACTGCAAATGCCAACAGCACCACTAGCACATGCCTGTGAATGGTTGAAGGAGCTACATCTGCCTCATCACCACCGCGATAACCATGGTTGTTATTTGCAATCAGCATGACGTTCATCATCACTTCATCACACTGTCACCTCATCACCTACTTCTTCTTCATCACCATGGCCATCCTCAGCATATCAGCTATCAGCATCATCATCATCATCAGCTACTGTTCACCTGTATTATGATTTCTTTATAAAATTGCTCTTAACAAAGTGGGTCATTCAGGGTACATGTACACCCTAGACATCCCAGGCATACCTTAACCTTGAAACGTCAGGAACCAAGCGAAGGATGCCGTCTTCTTGTCCCAAGACGAGGCAAAGAAGCTACTTCCAGGCAAGCATGGACTCTGTCTGGTGCTTAGTAGGGAATGCGGGAATGGATCCCTATAGTAGCCCCGATATAATCCCCAACAATAGTCTCCATCATCCTTTCCCCCATTCCCTACTGAGGATTAGGGAGGAGTAACAGGGCCCAGTCTTGTAGCTGCTAGCTGGTTTTGGAGGTGTTCATGGTCAGATTGGGCATTTGCTCATAATGTGGAGAGGCTTACTTTTACGCGTTCGGAAATAATAGGCTTAGTCACAACTCCATAGAGGGCTTGGAATAGTTGCATACATGATTCTTTATGGCTCCTTTCAAATATAAAAGCAATTAAAGAATAAATGCTGTAGGGTTGATAGAGTTTAGAGCTTAAGGTATATTGGCAAAGAGGTCGGAATGTTGACCAGTTCGGGTTCCTGTAGAGCTCGAGTAGCAGCTTTTGCGTGAGAGTCTGCTCGTGTACGTAAAGCCTCCTGCCCATAAACCCTAAACCGCCAACCCCTGATTTTTTGAGGCCGAATAATCAGCCGGTTGTTTTGGAGATACGGTTGTTGGAGCGGTTTTTGGCGCAGGCCATTCCCTTCGGCGTCTATTTCTCGCTGTTGCGGTTTTCTGCGGGGAGAATTAGTCCTACCTAATGGTCTGCACTGTAGTTCCTGTTTGGCTAAACCGTTTTTATAGTTACTTAGGATCCTATGAGGTAACCCAAAAAAGGAACTACAATGGAGACTATAGGTAAGGCTTTAATAATAATGCCTTAAATTTTAAGGCTTATCTTGGGCCCAGCGACCATACTATGTGTAGAGCTTTAGGGGAAGAGAGGAACTGAGGAATTCCCAGTACACCTTGTGGCCGACCTTGGAATGTAATTCTTCGTGGTGTTTGTGGAGCTTTCATGTTTGGAAAACTGCTGAGCTACGCAGAAACGATACACCCCGAGGCCCTAAAGTAACGGTCCATGTACCCATATAGTCTAGGCTTGCGCACTAAAGTTTCCACATGTACAGTTAATCCCTGAACCCAAAACCCAAGCCCTAGCCCCTTGCAGGGCTGGGCTTAAACTTTACCAGGATGCGCAGTAGTAACAGTAGTACCCTTATTCCCTTTTTGTAGTCCTAGGTTCCTTATAAAGTAACCCAATACCAAAAAGGGGAGCCCTTTTCATTCCTAGGTTACTGGGCATCCTTTAGAAGCTGCCCCCACCCTGTAATAGTGGTATAATAGGAATATAATAGGGCCCTAATATAATCCTACAAAATCCATGGTCACGATTACAGGGTGGGGGCCCCTTCTAAGGCATCCTAAATATGGTACCCCTAATTTTTGGAAACTCCCATATAAGTCCGGGGAAAGGCAGGCGACTTGTAGGGCTCAGATTATGGCATCGGGGTTTGTGTGCCTGAATTAGACTCCTTGAGCCTTACACAAATGAGACAGTGTTCTGCATAATGCGGGTAAACACCCATGAGAGGCCCATGATATGACAAAACTGAAAGTCTACGCAATCCCTTGAATCCCTGCGCCGAACCTCGCGTTCTTGCCAGGTGGGCTTGAGGAACCGTGCATCATCATTGAGCGTGATGGCAAGGCCGTTGCTTATCCCGACACCCAGGTGCTGTGGCCTCACATGGGCTATTCAACACAGTGCTTTCTTAGATTCTGTTTGCATACTTCAGTACGGTTCCTTCGGTTCCTGCTGAGGGTTCGGCATGTTTGGATTCTATCGTAACGGCTCCTTAGGGAAACAGGTCCAACTCCAGGTATAGGCGATCGAGCGTCAGTTTCAAGTGCAAGCTCATTGGAGTACTCCGCATAGGAAATTTAGGGTTTAGGGTTTAGGAACCAGGAGTATTTTGTCATGTGAAACCCAGAAAGACAGATATTCAAGGAATATCTCACCAGCGTTGGCCCCGAAGGACGTGCATTTGGACATTGGTGAGTATTGGACCCTTACATTGGACCTGAAGCGCTTGTTCAGGTGTATACGGAACTGAACTCGTTTCCACAAGCCATAGTAAGATAGTAAGGATGGTCTTCGGGGCCGTGATTCGACAATGGTAATTACTACAGATGGCTCTCGGTAAGCGCTAACTGGACCCTCATAAACCTACCTTATTAGGGTTCCGAGTAGAACGCTGTACATAAATCATATCCTTAAAACGGTCGGTTACATCTGGGGTTAAGGTACAGCAAGCAAGGTGCTGCGTCCTCACGTCGCAAGTGGAGGTGACCTCGGTGACGATGTTGTGCTAACATACTGCGGCCTGTCCAACCTCGGCATCGCTTCGAGGTGTTCCAAGTAGATACCTTTTGTTTTGTTGATGCTTTGTTCTTCTCTTGCGGGTCTCCCTACGCACTACACTTGAGTAGCACTACACCCGAAACGGATCAATTCTGAGTATTACTTTTCGTGTTGTGCCGTTGTCAAAGCTTAGCTATCACTGTTGCAGGGAATCTAGGCTTACACTCCTCAACCTTAAACCCTAAAAACTAAACCAACTAAACGCTGAACCCTAAACTCCTTAACCCTTAAAGTAAGCATCCCAGACCTTCCAAAACCCCTTAATTAAGGAATATACTTTAGATTATAGTAGGATCCTTAATACGATTTAAGCTATATTCCTTAATTAAGGGGTTTTGGAAGGTCTGGGATTATTGAGGGGAGCCTAGGCTTACACCCCCGAGTTGGGTGGTAAGCGCTTGGACCTCCATCCGATGACGCAGCTGGAGAACAACCTGGTCATGTACGAGACTGGGCTTGTTTTGGGGTCTAGGGGCCTAAGGGTGTAGGGTTTAGGGGTTAGGGTTTAGGGGTGCTTTTAGGGCTTTTAGGGTTTAGGGTTTGGTTTTTATTTGTCGTTTAATGGCATTTGCGAATTTGAGGATTTCCGGGGGTTTGGGGTGTTATGTACGAGGCTGGGGACAGTAGGTGGTTAGGGTTCGTCATCTGCTGAGGATAAGAACAGCATGGAGCCCGTGCAGCAGCTGTGGGGCACCACCGAGAACCGGATGGAGTGCAAATATTGTGGGCTTGACAAGGCGGGCTTTGGCTAGGATGCCCAGTAGTACCCTTATTCCCTTTTTGTAGTCCTAGGTTCCTTATAAATAGTTACCCAATACCAAAAAGAGAGGCCTTTTTATTCTTAGGTTACTGGGTATCCTAGTTGGGGTTCACTCATATTTCGGAACCTTTCTGAGGGAATCTAGCCCAGCCCAGCCGTGTTGAACGTACTTAAGGGAATGCAGGGTTTTGGACCAAACCTCGCGGTGCTAAATCAAAGTTTCTCCTAAATCCGATAACCCGCAACCCCCCAAATCAGCTTTGTTTGTGACCGTTTGGGTTCCTGCAGTCTCCGGAAACACCTCGTCTTCTTTGGACCATTACCCTAGGCATCTAAGATATATATATATATATATAGATGTATATATATATATATATATATATTAAGGCTTTTGGGCCCAAAGCCCATACTATGGGAGGCTTTTTGGGCTCTGTTGATGTCCAGGGTTAGGGCTAGGGACCACTTCTGCAGGGCTGAGGGGGTCGCTAGCCTGCATGATAGGGTTGATGATATATATATCCTGCATGACCCATAATAAGGAGTATACCATAATTCCCATAGTTTGGGGTCCTTGAGGTAATTCAGGATTTATATCATCAACCCTAAACCCTAAACCCCCTATACCTTTGAGGAGCCCCGTAAAGGTACCCTTATAGATCCCTTTAAAGGAACCCTAGGGCCTGCTCGGGGCTCTTTTACGAAGGGATGCAGCGTTGATGTCGCCCTCGTTGTTTCCCGGTTTCGACACCTACTAAACCGTAAGCCCCACATCCTAAAGCCTAGGAGCTGGACAAAAATGCGTTCACATCCGATGCACGTCACATATGAGAACCCAGAGCCCTAAACATGAAATGTTTTGAGCTGCATATGAAGTTGTTTAAGCTATCCGGGACCCCTCTGGAGGTGGAGCGGATGAAGGAATGGCCTACTTACCGGCTCACGCTGAAAGACTTCTGCAACGCATGGCCTGGTTCGAAGGTCTTTGTGAACGATTATTCCACCAAAGGTCTCAAGCCGAACTTCTCGGACAACCCTGTGCTATACCTCTACGACCTCTTGATGGACACGATCTTCTCCCAATCCATCGTTTACCAGAAGACCAACGAGACTGGGTCCCTGAGGTACTAGCCTTGTTGCCTTTTTTGGAACGGCGCTGAATGATAGGAAACACCTTAAACCCTGAACCCTTGGAACAAGGGTGCCTGGATTCGTCTTTACGAAGTCTTTACTCTTTGTTTAGTGCCACACTGGAGACGGCAGTAGCCCCTACTTACAAACGGTATTCTAAACCCTAAACCTTGAACCCTAGACCTTCAGAAAAGAACCCTGAAACACTTTATCCTACGTGATGTTCAATATTTAGGCGACCCAGGGGAGCTAAGGAGAAGCCGGTATTTCCCACTCTGAAGAACTTCGACAGCCGACTTCCCAGCAAGGAATCTCGGCTCTGGACGACCATGTCGGGTTTAGGGCTATAATTTAGGTTGCAGGGTTTGGGGTTTCAAAGTTGAGGGCTTCGGTTTTGCTGTTTTCGAGTTTGAGGGTTTGCGGTTCAGGTTCAGGGTGTAGTTTGCATGTTTCAACTAACACTGCAGGGCATTCGACAAGGCGCTTTACAGATTCTATAGTAAGCTTTGCTCTTCAACTGGGTGGTTTTCAATATTAGGGTCCCTTTTGGGGTCCCTATTATAATACGGCACCCTATATTCAGGGTACCCCAAAAAGGGACCATAATGTTAACAACCACCCAACTAAGCTTTCTAGGGCTCCTGCAGCTCCTATCTAGGGTTCTACAAGGGCTCCTTCAAAGCCTCGCTGTGGGTTACTGGGTTGTGGATGCCCTGTATGGTCTGTGTGGGTATGTATGTGTACATATATTTCATAACATATAAACAAAACATAGACGATAAATATATGTGTATATATATAACAAAAATAAATACTTGTGTGTTACCCTTCATATAGCTATTATATACCCATTATATAGCCCGTTATAGGGTAGGGGTCCCCATTCAGGGTCCCTTCTTTTCCCCTTTGACTTAAGGCTTTGAAGTTTAAGGGTTCGAAGGGCTTCCGGTTGAAGGATGCCCGCGACCTTTACGAGGGGTTACTGTCCCTACACGGTCCTTCAAGCTGTAGGTCACATATATATATATATACACATGTATACACACACATACAAACATATACATATATATATATATATATATATATATGTATATATTTTTTGTATACACACACACACTTATACTTCTTGAATATGTATGTACGCATGCATGCATGCATTCATGGATGTATGCATGTAAGTAGGCAGGTAGGTAGGTAGGTAGGTATGTGTACAAGGTCATACATATATGTGTTATATATATATATATATATATACCTAGGGGTCCTTATTAAGGCTTTTACCCTTGGATTAAAGCCTCTACCCATAAGTCCGTTAAACGCCACAGCACCCAGGAACTGGTCTATGTGGTTCCTTTGCAGGGCGATGCCGTGGCGTATTCCTCCGCTTTCCTTCAGGAGAAGAAGATCGTGAATGCGCCTGCGCAGTGAAGACGAAGTAAGTGCGAACTCTAAAACCTATCCCACCCTACGTGATTTCTGTACCTTTAACCCGAGAGAGACTTTTGGGCCATGTTAATATACAAGCAAATTGTAGTAGCAGTCCTGGATGTGTTTTTTTCTTTGGTACCTTCTCTGCTTTACTCCTGGGAGGTATCCCGACAGAAGCAGTGCGCACTACCGGACCCCCCCACTCGTCAACCACAGCATGTTTGGCCCTACACACTAATCTGCGAGACTCGAGGTGCAGATCGGAGGTTCAAAGATCGTAGTGGCCTACTTCCCGGAGTTCTGCGCCATCGGGGCCTTCTACAACACCACAGGTCGTCCTGTGAAGACGCTGGATTTCTATGGGCGCATGAGTGATGGGAAGACTCTGCCCCGAGTGGAAACATTTAAGGCTGGTGTTTTCTGGTGCGTGTGGATGAACTGGTTCCCTCTGACCGACCTCAATCGCAGCAGCTGACGCCGGCAAGTTTAAAGCATTGCCCGTCTGATGCAGGGGAAGGTATTTTAGCAATAGTGCACATTTAATTCAATACATCTTTACAAAGCTCCGAACTAATTGAGTATGATATACACCAAAACCTTAGTCCCAGTATCGAGGCCTCTCTATTCGCTAGACTAGACACCTTCTACCCTGAACTTTATACCCAAAACCTAAACCCTTAACTAGGAAACCCCAACCCTGAAACCTAAACCTGAAACGCTGTTCCTCGACTCGAAACCCGGAATCATTAATTGTGACCAGAGCGGCTGACAAGGGCCACTTCTTTTCGGCAGTTGCCCCGGCTCTAAGTAGTGAAGGGGGCAACGATACATCCTTTATCCGGCTATTCTACCCCTGCAGAAGACCCATTCCGTAATTCGCTACGAAGAACCAATGGAGAGGAGCTGTAGCCATCAAGGCGACAAGAGCTTGCCTTCTGACTCCTTTGGCTGTGTTTGTAGCATTCTTATCTTGTAAATTCCGGACATCATTTCGAGATTTTAAATGGAATCGCATGGAATCTGCGGCAAGTTTGAACAGACAGCACATAGCACAGGGCCTGCACCCTTGACCGCCAAGACTCGTGAAGGCAAAGGGTGAGTTTGTCAGAAATTTTAGCGACCCCAAAGCCTAAACCCAAGCCCCGGGCTTTACACCGCTCCCGCCGGGAGCAGGGTCCATGTCTCTTGCCATCATGGATTCAGTTTTTTGTTTTTGTTGGACTTACAGCCCCATATCCCACAGTCATAGTCAAAGCCCTTCGCCAATAACCCTATAAACTGAAGCCAGCGAATCTAAACTCCAAAACCCGACTCTCGAAGCGTGGGCAAGTCTAAGTTTTGCAAAGTTTCAATTTCTCCGCGCCTTCAAAATTAAAACCAAGAAAGGAAGCTTGGGTTTGCCTGTAGCCCCGAAATCAGGGTTTATTTCGGGTTTATAGGATAGGTTGTGGCAGACTTCCCAAGAGGGTCCATATACACTACCATTATGGGATTAGGTCCCCCAAAACCATGGTAAGGATGGTCTTTTGGGATCTAATTCCACAATAGAAGTGTATATGGACCCTCTGGGTTCGTGATCAAGAGCGAACTTCATCTAAAGTGGAGCCCAAGGCTTGTGGCCAGATTCATGGTTTTAGAGGCATGAGCGGTTCAGGTGTAGGGTTTAGGGTTTAGGGACGTAATTGCTTGAGGTCACAAGGGGCTATAGCTACAGGTTTTTGTAGTTTGTAGCCATAACAATTTCGGGTCTTCGTCAGGAAGTCGCTTGATTCACTGATTGATTAATCCTTGAGTACTGAGGACAGTCCGCCAGCCTAAACTGTCGAGGAGACTATTCCTCCCACTGCGTAGCGCCCGACACATCCAAGCGTTCGGGTCTTCTTCCGAAACCCAAGAACTGCCAAGAACTGTTCAATCTCCTCCTTTGCGAGGCTTGGCGCGGAGGCTTGGCTTTGTGAGTTTTAGGTTTATAGGGTTAGGGTTCTGTGTCTTTTGGGGGGGCTGGGGGTGCTGCTCGTTGTTCTCCGACAGTCGCGTTCCAAGGAGTCTACCTTTTTAGGTCCTAGGCAACTCGACAAGTGGCTTCATGATTTCTTCGCTCTGCTTGATGTAGTTAACAGGAGTGCGGGATGAGTGTCATCTCAGCTCATCCTCGGACCACGTGTTTGGATCAGTTTCGGGAAGAGGGTTTTGGCATCTAGTTTGGGTTTTCCTTGGGCTCCAAAGGCTGCTGTCTTGGGCGTAGTATACTGCCCTCTCATTAAGGGGTCATAACCTACCAGGACCTACCATTTTTGTAAGTGTTGGGTCTTCCAGGTAGGGTTTAGGGAGAAGCACCGAAACCCTAAACCCTAAACCCTAAACCCTAAACCCTATACTCCTAACTGAAAACCAACCGCCTGTAGACACCTAGGAGGACCCTAAGAGTTGCCGGGGTCCTGGTAAAACCTGAACCCTAAAACCCTATAGTTTTGAAGCTGCCCCCACCCTGTAAAAGTGGCTCTAATAGGAATATAATAGGGCCCTACTATATTCCTTATATAGCCACTATTACAGGGTGGGGGCAGCTTCTAACCTATAGTGCTATAACAGTCTTTGTATTTAGCTTACGCCAACTAAGGTCCTTACACCCGATACAAGCATTGAGGAGTCTTATTCCCCAGAGAAGAAGCAGCCGTCAGTCGTGGAATACTCAGAGCGTATTCCGTAACATACAACAGGCTGCACCCAATCAAGCCCCAGACTCTAATGACCCAACTTAGAAAGAATTATCTCATCAGGGTCAATGCAGTCATGCCCTATTCCCTAAAACCCTAAACCCTAAACACACGCAGGCGCATCCCCGAACAGTTCCCTCATCCACCAGGGTCGCCCCGGCTCTCTTTGGGGTTTTGAGGTTTCTGGTGATGGGGTGGGGGCTGGGGCGGTGTTCGTGCTTTACAGTATCAGAATCAGGGGTCAGGGACTTCTATGCAGGGTTGTTGGCTTAGGGCTCCGGGATTTGTCATAGTGAGTTCACGGCGGAAATTCAAGATCTATCATGTTGAATGTTGAGTTACTCAGTAGCACTGGCATAGCTCAGTCTTCCCCGAAGTGTACGTCTACCAGGTGACTATTCTTGAGATTGAAGCAGCTGTACCCTTGAAACAGGTTGCAGCCATCCTTATTTTGGGTGTGGGGACTTAATTCCTTTTTTGACAATCAAGTATTTGTGGACCCTAAACCCTAAACCCTACAGGACCCTCTAAGAGAGAAGAGGACCCTCTAGGTCATGACTACAACCCCTACGGGTCCAGGAACTCAGGCTGTGGAGGTTCCAGGTCCCAAATACCTACTATTTGCTTAAGAAACCCCCAAAAAATAAAAATAATAATCCCTATATTACCCCCATAAGGAATATATTTTTTATTTTTGGGGGGGGTCTTAAGCAAATAGTAGTAACCCTCAACCTTGAACCTAAAGCCTCAGAACCCGAAACCCTAGAACCCCAAACCCTGAACCCTGGCACCCTAAACCCTAAAATCTAGAACCCTAAACCCTAGAACCTTATAAACCCTATAAACACGGGAGCCCTGAACCTTAAACACTAGAACCCTAAACCCTAAGAGCCCTTAAGGAATGGTTTTTTTAATGCCCTTCTATCCACTGCCAGTCGCCGGGATCCTCGGTGTCATGGCATCCGCTTCTTCAAAGCGCCTCGCAGGAGGTGCCCCAGTCCCCAAAAAGGCTAAGGGTTTTAGGGTTGAGAGTTTCGATACCATTTTTGCTCACCTGCACTGGTTCAGAATCATCCACCACGTTCCGCGTGCCCTACTCGCCCAAGCCTACAGTAACTAGCTTCTTACCGTGCCTTATTGAGCCGACTACCCCTCACATATTATCTCTATATATATATATATATATATCTCTCTCTCTCTCTCTATATATATATATATATATTATATATATATATATATATCTAAACGCCAAAGACTGAGATCTTTAACAGACGTGATACGGACTTTATGCCAAGAGGGATGCGTCCACACCCCGTGAGACATGGCAGGCTGTTTTCTCTCGGGTTTCAGGCTGAGGCGGGGTTTTCGAGCTCTCAGTTTCGGGCCTATGGTTGATGATAGCAATCCTGCATTACCCAAAATTAGGAATGTGCCATAATTCCCGTAGTTTAGGATCCTTAAGGTAATGCAGGATTTATATCATCAGCCGTAGGACCTAGGTTGTTTGGATTGAGTTTTACGCTTCGCAAGTCCAGGAGCTCCCCGTGCAACATGCAAGGCTGCGCACATTCATTTCAGAAGCATCTTCCTATCCCTCCAGGGACCTTATTATGGGGTCCTTAAGGGGTCTAGGGCCCTAACTATGAGGTCCTTGGAGGGATAGGGTCTAGATTCCGTAAGTCGATAACCTCAGCGCCCAGATGTTTAATCCCAAGCAGGCAAGTTCGAAACACAAGGGGCTAATGTTTCCCTTGCACTTTCAAGTCTTCACCTCGATGCAAAGCTTGAACTTTACATCCGATAAGTCCTAAGCAGAAGACCCTCTTTAAGCTGCAGCTACATGTGACTTACATTAGGGCATGCATATGTATATGCATATATATATATATATATGTGTATACATATATATATACATATATATATATATATATATATTCACAACATACTCATATCGTACAAAGCAGCCCATTCCACGGATTTCGGGACCGACTTCCATACCCCTAAACCCTACCTATAGTCTCCATTGTAGTTCCTTTTTTTTGGTTAACCAGTTTCATGGTTAGGATCCTATAATAGAGTTTTTGATTAACCAAAACAAGGAACTACAATGGAGACTATAGGTAAACCCTAAAGTGGTATTTATAGGAGCCCCGAGGGATCCAGGTTTGACACACGTCGGCACCATTAATGCTAGTATTTCCCTCATAGTCTCGATAATTACGTCATGACATGCCTCAGACCCTCTGCGAAGTGTTTTTCACCCAAGCCGTAAACCTTTACGTTTGTTTACCCAAACCCTTTGACCCTGAAACCCTAAACCCCTGTGTTGCCAAGAAGGCGCTGTCCATGGCCCGATCAGCTTCCTTCGCAGTGCCGGAGCGATCGCCAGCCTCTTCCCCAGTTCGCTCGTAGGGTTTAGGGTGTAGGGTCTACCCATAGGCTCCATAGTAGCTCGTTTTTCGGGATTCATATCTAGAACCCTATAAGATAATCCCAAGAAGGATTAACATGGAGCCTATGGGTAGGTCTTAAGGATCGGGTTGTTTGGATGTTTGAGGGGGCTTACTAGGTTTACGGAAATTTAGGGTTGAGGGTGGGCTCGCTAGATGTCGTTTTGGTTATGCTTTCGCATGTACTTTTTGCGATCTTTCAGCTGGCTGTGTAGGCCTTGGAGGGCGTCTTGCATTTTGGACTTCGAGGATCATTGAAATGGTATGCTTCATTCGGCATGACTCATACCATCGGAGGCCCTTGGTGC